TATTCTAGTCAATATTGCTGTTACTATTTAGTATAGTAAATATATTAATATATATTATATAGTATCTGCTATTTAAAGCAAGTGCTATATACCTAGCCTCTCCTGTCTCCTGACGAGTCTGTAAGTTATTGAGTTGGTATGAGGACGCAAAAGATGTGAGGAAGGAGAAGAATAGAATACAACAGGTTAAATTAGATCACGATGAGTCACTCTTCCTATTTAGTTGCCGCATAGAGTGAATTCACCGATTTGCTTATCCTTAACCTGATGTCAACACAAGTAAGATTTTGAGAGAAATTTGTGAGCTCGTTGCCAAAAGATGCGCGGCTTGCGTGGTCTGCTCAAGTCATGGCTTGTAGAATGAATGGATCTAAAGTAGTTTGGAATAGTATGCATACAATAGTTCGGGAGGGCTTACTGTAAAGAAATAGAGTAGCAGAGTAGAGGGAAAGATAGCGGTTCGAACGAAATTTTTAATAATGTGGGAAAAACTCGTTCGTCTCGCAGGGACAGTATCGTAATTTTTAAAAGGGGAGAACACACTCGAGTGAACCAAAGGCGCTAGGACGTTCTGCAGATTTCAGGATGCCAAACGATGGTGGCTCATAGAGCATTTTCTAAGATAGGAGCAAATGAATATTGGCGTCAACGTCTTTCATTTGAGTTTTCATTGCAGTTTCCACGCGTAAGTTTGGTAAAGTACTCATTACGTTGCGGGAAAGCAGTAGTTTAACGAAATTATTTTTCCATCAGGTACGTCACTTGTATAGATTGTCAGTATACAATTTTTAAGAGTTCTGAAACGATCGGATCAAGATCACATGACGAAAAGAATTTATTATTGAAATCATTTTGATAAAATAAAGTGAAATACAGTTACCCGCCAACATGGCCACCGCAACGCTGGAGTGCAAACTTTGTTTGGAAGAATACGACTCGCGCGACCACAAGCCGCTTACCCTGACCTGCGGCCACACCTTTTGCCAGGGTTGCATTTCACGTTTACCTGCTAATTTTGAATTGCAGGAGCCAGGAAGCGAACATCGCAACCAATTGATCAAATGGTGGTGATTTATGAATCAATTCCATCTGGGTGTGAGCCTCGTCAACTTTGCCCTCGTAAACAGTCAGAGACGCCGTTGCGCGTAAACAGTCAGAGACGCCGTGCCCCCGTAAACAGTCAGAGACGCCGTGCCCCCGTAAACAGTCAGAGACGCCGACGCATGCCCCCGTAAACAGTCAGAGACGTCGTGCCCGCGTAGACAGTCAGAGACGCCGACGCATGCCCCCGTAAACAGTCAGAAACGCCGTGCCCACGTAAACAGTCAGAGACGTCGTGCCCGCGTAGACAGTCAGAGACGCCGTGCCCCCGCGTAAACAGTCAGAGACGTCGTGCCCCCGTAAACAGTCAGAGACGCCGTGCCCCCGTAAACAGTCAGAGACGTCGTGCCCCCGTAAACAGTCAGAGACGCCGTGCCCCCG